TCACAGTTCAAGGTATGAACAAAATCCTGTCTCAATTATAAAGTACAAAGTATCAGGTTTGCAACATGGGTTTTTCTGTTGTAATAGAACTTCCTACTAAAGAGTGGGCTCTGGCCATCTCAAGGGTCAACTGGGGTAGGATCTACTGCCAAACTGATGTAGTTGGTGGCAGGATTCAGTTTTTTGCAGGCTAATGGATTCAAGACCTTCCATTTTTACAGGGGTTGGCGAGAGCCTCCCTCTATTTCTTTCCATGTTGGCCCTTCCATCACGGCAGCTCGCGTCATCAAAGTGAGCAAACTGGGAAAACAACAGAGTTTGTTATCAAGATGGAAGCCTAATCACAGAGGTGAAATCCTATCACTTATACCATATTCTATTAAACAGAAATGAATTACTAGGTTCTGCTGACACCCCAAGGGAGTATACCAAAAAGTGATTACACAAGAGGACTGAGCACCAAGAAATGATTACACAAGAGGACTGCACAACAAGAGATGATAGTTGTAGGTTATCTTAGAAATCTGGCTACCAGATGTCTATCAGTGGGGGAACTTGTTAAATAAATTTAGCATACCCATAAATCTTTTTTTTAAAAGAATTAGGAGTTCTATATGGCACTGATATGTAAAGATTAAATATTGACAAAAGAACAATGTGACTAGCATGATGTGTTTTACTTATAAGGCGTGAAATAAGAATCTAATTATATTTGCTTGTATAAGGTTAAAGAAACTATGAATTCCATGCTCATGGATTGGAAGAATTAACATTATTAAGATGTCCATCTTACCAAAGATAATTTTAATGCAATATCTATTAAATTACCAACATCATTCTCAGACCTGGAAATGACAATACAGAAATTCATATGGAAACATAACCACAAATAGCCAAAACAACCCTTAGCAAAAGAAACAAAGTGGGAGGTATCACACTTCCAGACTTCAAACTGTACTATAAAGCTATAATAGTCAAAACAGCCTGGTATTGGTACTAGAACACACATATAGACCAACGGAACAGGATGGAGATTCTGGAAGCAAAACCTCAATTCCTCAACCAACTCATCATCGACAAAGCCTCCACCAACAACCAATGGGAAGAGGAGAACCTAGTCAGTAAATGGTGCTGGGGAAACTGGCTGACTACATGCAGAAGACTGAAATAAGTCTACCTATCACAATACACAAAAATCAACTCTGAAAGGATCAAAGGCCTAAACATAAAACCGCAAACTATAAGACTCATAGAAGAAAATGTAGGAAACATCCTTATGGAAATTGAAATAAGCAAGCAAGTACTGATCCACTCAAAAGTGAATGCCATAAAAGATAAGATAGACAAGAGGGACCTCATCAAACTGAAAAGCTTCTGCAAAGCAAAATAAACCATCAAGAGAGTGGGGAGACAGCTCACAGAATGGGGAAAAATATTCGCTAACTGTATATCTGACAAAGGCCTAACATCTAAGATCTACAAGGAACTCAAATGTGCCAAAAGGAAAAAAACAAACAGCCCTATTAAAAAATGGGCAAAAGATACGACTAGACTCTTCTTGCAAGAAGACATATGAGCAGCCAACAGATACATGAAAAAATGCTCACCTCACTAATCATCAAAGAAATGCAAATTAATACCACACTGACATACCACCACTAAACTCCAGTCAGGAAGGCCGTCATCAATAACTCAAAAAACAACAGATGCTGGAGAGGATGTGGGGAAAAGGGAACTTTTACATTCTTGGTGGGAATGTTAACTAGTACAATCTCTGTGGAAAATAGTGTGATGATTTCTAAAAAATCTGAAAATTGACCTTCCATACAACCCAGCAATCCCCCTTCTGGGAATATACCCAGAGGAACTCACATCACTCTATAATAAAGATACCTACACATGCATGTTTATTGCAGTATTATTCACAATGGCAAAAACATGGAACCAGCCGTGCTGCCCATCGAAAGTGGGCTGGATAAAGAAAATGTGGTACATTTACATGATGAAATATTATGCAGCCATAAAGACAAACAAAATTATGAACTTTGCAGCAACATTTTTTCATGTATCTTTTGGCTGCTCATATGTCTTCTTCTGAGAAATGTCTAGTCATATCTTTTGTCTATTTTTAAAAATAGGGTTGTTTGTTTTTTCCCTTTTGGCACATTTGAGTTCCTTGTAATCCTAGATGTTAGGTCTTTGTCAGACATACAGTTGGCAAATATTTTTTAGAGTCTATAATTATAATTATAATTTATTAGAGTCTATAATACTCAGTGATTTATCACAGAAACATAGATCTGAGTACCACATATACTTATTCATAAGTGGACCTTGTACATTTATCATAATACCATAAGAAAGGGATTGGCCGTAGTGGGACACTGCCAGGGAAGGGGGGCACATAACATCAATAAGGATAGCCACACTTTACCTGTATGATGACAATGTATGTATCTAACCCTCATTTGTACCCCACATTTTAAAAATAAAATAATTAAAAAGAAAAAAAAGAAACTATAAAAGAATAAATAGGAAATAAATTACAGTGTTACCAAGGTTGGGAGCTAAGAGTGAGAACTGAGTGAAAAGGAGACAGAGGTTGGAGAGAATTTTCACTGTAGTTTTTATATTTACAAAATTTTAAACCATATAAATGCATAGTCTATTCAAATATTAAATAAAAATAAAGGAAGATGTTTGTGGTCACCAAAGTTTCCTCTTTCTGCCTTCTACAGGGGCAGAAGAAGGTGAAGGTATTTTAGAGGTTGTTTCTTGAAGGTTTAATATGCCATAAGTAGCGTCTTATAGAGTTGAAATTTAAATGCAATTTTCTACTTGTCTACTACTGAGTACTCATTGCAGCCACTATGAAAAATCAGAATGGATCCTACTGAAAATCCAGTTTGTATATCAAGACTGATAACTACACACACACACACACACACACACACACACACACACACACACACACACACACACAGACACACACCTCAAGAAGGTATGCAATGGTTTATTACATATATAATGAGGCATTTCTGGGAAAAGCAAGGCAACCTCTCAAGCAAATTAGGAAAAGACTTGAAAAAATTGGGAAAGGAAACTGGTCTTGAGGTCTTATTGCCATTAGGGGGTGGGCTGGTGTGACCATTTCCACATAAGGGTTGGGGCTTGCGTAGTTTGAATGTGCTCCTGCACCAAAGGTGGGGACACCAAGACTTTCTTATCCTCCTTCTCAGATTGAGGGTACACGAAAAAGAAGCAAAAGTGAATCTTCACAGTTTTCAGCAGTCAAACATTAAAAAATGGAGTTATTCTTTATTCTGGCACCAAAAGAAAGACAATTTATACTGTGCCAGGTGATATAATAGTTGACTGACAGAACTTGTTTCACTTAATTGGGAAAGCAACAGAGACCTCACAGATATTTGGCTTTCAGGGACAAGCTTGTAAAAACGTTCCTTAAAAATTATCAAAATCATATGCCTAAGGAAGGCTGTGAGAAACAAAAAAGTATTTCTTTAGGACATACATCATTTTTATCAGATTAGCAAAAGTTACAAAGAATCATGGCATCCAGTGTGGCCCAGGATATGAAAAGCAAAACAATCCCACACACTCAAAGGAAAATAAAAAGTGTACATAGATACATCCTTTTCCAAGGGTAACACATTAATATAATATAAGCAATTTGTGTGTGTGTGTCTTTTGACTTAGCAATTCTGCTTTTAGAAATTTATTCAGAGCAAGCAATCAGACAAATGCAAAATGTACAACTACAGAATACATGAACACACACATGAAAGAATGTTCATGAAGCACTGGTTGAAATAAGAAAAAAGTTGGCAGCAACCTAAATATCCAACTATTAAGACATAAGTAAACTATTATATTCTCATATAAAATATCACCTTTAGAAAGAAGATTCAGAGACAAATTTCATACCATGGGAAAGTTATTCACATTATATGTTAAAGTCAACAGCAAATAAAATAGTATTACAGTGTTATTCTGTTGGTGTTCACTAAATACTATGTAAATACATATAAGAATGACTGAAATAATGTGAATACACTAAGTTTTTACAGTATTTGCTTCTGGTGTGATATTCTGAGTTTTTAAAATTTTCATTTTAGTTCTCTTTCTCATTCTCTAATTTCTTACTAAATTAGACTCTCAGAGATTTTGAAAGTAAATAATCAGTGGTATATACAGTGCTACTGTATATAAAAGTATTCTGAAAATTGGGCTAACTAGATAGGAACCTATGTGGAGTATGGGTCACCATAGAAAGTGTTATGGTATAATACATAAGAATAATGATTATTAATTTCACACAAATTTATAAGACAATCATATACCATAAAATCTTGGTGACTGTAAATTTAATAAAAATTAAAAAACAAAGGTCTACTCATACATCCTAAAGTGCTCATACAACTAAAAAATAATTTAAGGACATAAACATCTATTACAAGAATGATGCCCAATCTCCTCAGGGTGCAATAAAAATGGAGCCTGTCATCACCAATTAACACCACCAGCTGAAAAGACAGTGCCCAGTTAAATTTCTAAAGACCAACTTTGGATGTAAATTCTACAATATTCTAGTGTTAACTCCAATATGGATAGGAACTTATTACTCATTTTCACAAATTTAAATCGTATTACACATGTATCTTTCCCAATTACTGCAAGCATTTACTTAATTCTAAATGTACATATTAGAATTTAACTTAGAAGAAGTAACTACCTTAAAAGCTAATCTCTACTTCCAAAAAGGCAGATGCAAGCCGCATTGTATTTCGTTTCTAACGCACAACTTTGTATAGGACATGACTGTTGATTGCTAGTAGAGGAATTCATAAATGACTAAATCGGTTAGTTGCGGGAAACGGGTATGTTCCCCGTGTTCTAACATTTCACTTGAGACACGATGAAATAAAATAAAAAAGAAAGCATTATCTCCTCTGGAAATCCCTCCTGCCCCGGTCACGTACCTTGATTCTTGCTTTCTCTATAAATTCTAAAGGAGCTTCCCCAAACTGAAACCCAGCTCCAAACCAAGGAATCCAACCCTTGATGCACGGTGGTCTATGCAAATGCTTCCGCTGAAGGAAATAGAACAGAGAGACGCAACCCAGGATTATAATCACCAGGGGGGAAATTAGTTCCATGTTTGTGTCCAGCATCTTCCAGAATCAGAAGTTTGAAAAAGTCCTGCTTCTCTTGGCACTCCTTCCTTTCCAGTGGGCTAGGGAACCCGCCGGGTCTCCCAACCTTTCTGCGGCAACTTTTGCAGTTAGTTCTTCCCTAAGTGACAGTAGCTTTCTTTCCCCGCCCCGATTTTTAGGTGATTTTTGCATCATTGCTCCCTCCCACCTCTGCTTCTCTTTCAAGTCCTGACCGGGGGGGGGGGGGGGGGCGGGGGGGGGAATGCAGACGCAGGACGGGATCAGGGCGGAGGGGAGGTACCAGGGGCTGTTGCCATGGAAACGGGGGAAGGTGGTAGGGGGCCGAAGGCGCAGCGGGGAAGCCGCGCCGCCAGCCAATCAACGAGCGGAACCCGACGGACTACACTTCCCAGAAGCCTCGTGGGCTTCGCTTTGTTTTTCTGCTCTGGGGTGCAGGGGGTTGCCGGACCGCTCCAACCTGCACCTGCCAGGGAGGCTGTAGGTTCGCCCGGCCGAGCCTGCCTAGGGAAATGGTCCCCGCCCGGTCACTCGCCGGTTGAAGAGGGGCGGCCCTGGCAGGGTACTGGCGGCCGCGGCGCGGTGCTGCGGCGAGAAGGGGTGTGTTGTCGTCCTGTCCTGCTGCTGAATGTCCGCCCCGGAGGATGAGGAGAGGCTTTTGCTGCTCACCCAGAGATGGCCCCGGGCGAGCAAGTTCCTACTGTCCGGCTGCGCGGCGACCGTGGCCGAGCTAGGTACCCGGCTGCCCACGCCTGGGCCTCCCGGGCAAGTCGCCGCGGTGCCGCGCTGGGGGAGGGACGCGCGGGAGACTCGGTTCCAGGCTGTGCATCCCGGGAGGCTGTCCCTCTTCCCCCACGCCCGCCTGGCGCTTGTGGCAGGGGCCAGGCCAGCCTTGTGAGGAGGAGGGATTGGAGGTCTCCAAAGTCTTTTCCTTCTCATTTCGTTTCATGCCTCCTTCAGGAGTGTGCTATTGTGCTGGAATGTGTACTTTTAGAAGCTTTCAGGGCTGTCGTTCCTCCGTAGAAATCATTTTCCCATTCTTGAAAATGACCTTTTTGAAACACGATCGATTTTTTTCTTTTTGGGATAAGCTCTGTGATTTATATTCTTACACAGTCTGACTTTGTCATTGTCTTTTGGGTCCAAGTGTGGACCTACTATTGGCACTTCATTTATTAGCCTATCACTCACTAAACATCTACTCAAACACCCCCGGTTACTTGACTTCTTAGAGTTTAACTCATCTATACTGTATTTACTTTCCAGGATTCTGAGAAGTCAATAATATATAAATGCTAAATCCAAGGCAGGACACCCATTAATTGCGACATTACTGTCTTTACTGCAGTACTAGGAAGTATAAATGTATATTTGAAAAGACCCAGTTCTGACCTTCTTACAGGCTGGTGGGAAGAATATAGAGAAAGATATTTACAATGTACTACTTATTATAATGAAACTATTATTAGGTGTCATAAGAGCATAGAAGAAGGACAGTTACCCCCATCTAAATGCTTCAGAGAAAACTTTAAGAGGCCACCTAGAAAGGAATCATGATGCCCTTGTATGAGAAAGTAGTTTATAACAGAGATTCTGTAAGTAAAGGCCTGTGTGTTCTCTTTGAAGCTTTAGCTGTGTATTTTAAGATTACCCTTATATTTTCTTGCCTGTTTAAAAAAAAACAAGAAAAAGAAAAACAGCTTTGATGCTTTATCATTTGTAAATGTTATCTGGTCCTATTCCCAATGGGCTTATTTTGTATTTATAGAATAATCAGCACATGATCTTATTACTGGACCAACAGGTTCATATACCCATTGCCCAATAACATCCAGTACACTGAGATAGCAGGGTTTGCAGCAGAGATAGAGTTTAATGATAGCAGGGAGCTGGGTAAGGAGATAAGAGGACACCTTCAAATCTATCTCCTCAAGGAGTTTTGGGCTGGGTCATGGAGGGCAAGAGGCTGGAGAGTTAGGGTCATTGAGTCATTGATTGATCAGGGTAAGGGAGATGAAATCATTAGGATGTGAAAACTTCATTCTTGGGTGAGTCACCTTCTCCTGGGGTCCTTAAGATCAACTAATGTCAGTAGTCTCACTAGTATACATGGAACAAAAGAATGTCCCAAAGGGAGAACGTAATGTTTTATAATATTCAAGTTGTAATCTATAAAGCAGTTAAAGGGAACCATAATCTTGTAACAAGGTCTTTGTGATTCTGAAGCAATAGGCAAACAGCTATGAGGAAGGGGTCACAGAGCAAGTTGACCTAATTAATTAATGGTGAATTTGCTGCAAACTTGGTCTATTTTCATTTCTCCCTTTCCCTTCTTCCTTGATTTATTTTGTTTGTTTGTTTGTTTGTTTTGAGTTGGAGTCTCACTCTGTCACCCAGACTGGAGTGCAGTGGCTGCTCCCGGCCACCGCAGCCTCGACCTGCTGGGCTCCGGCGATCCTTCTGCCTCAGCCTTCCAAGTAGCCGGAATTACAGGCATGCGCTACCACGCCCGGCTGATTTTTTGATTTACTGTAGAGATGAGGTCTCGCAGCCCAGGCGGGTCTCGAACCCGCGGGCTCAGGCAATCCACTCACCTCAGCCTCCCAAAGGTGCGGGATTACAGGCTGAGCCACTGAGCCTGGCTCTTCCTTGATTTATTTTATAAAATTTTTAGGAATGGCTTCAGTCCGTTTTGTGCTCTTCCATTTTTGACCTTTGGCCCCTCTGTTTTTTTTTTTTTTTTTTCTCTCTCTCCTCTCAAAGCTGGTGGAGAATTTTTTTTTCATGGTTTTTACAGAAATAAAATTCATCAATTTAAGAAAAACTAAAAGATTGCTGAATGATTAGATACATTTCCAGATTTTTTTTTCAAACTGCTGTTTCCCCCCTGTGACTCACTGACTTTTGTACAGGACTATTCCTCCTGTTAAAAATTCATAGAGATAATTGTGGTGATTGGGGGTGGGAGGCAGGGGAATCAAAATATGGTTTAGAGGACAGTTTAGAGGACAAATCAATTCAGGAACTTGAGGCATTACTAAGTAACCAGTAAGAAAACAAAAATTATTTTGAGAGACATAGTTTGTGCTAGTATAGTGGCTCCAATTTCTTTAAACTTTTTCAGTTTCATAATACACACCAATAAAACATTGCTTGAGATCTGTATATGTAAGCTACTTCTGTTTTAGCAAAACTATCAGCAAGATAATTAACTTTTCTAAAGAACAGTGATGAGTTAACATTCCCTTCCTCCCCCCCCACTCTGTTTTTTCTTAGAAAATACATACTAGGGTTTTGTATCAGGTGGTGGTCATTGAAAAGTCTTACATAATTTCTGTAATATTCATGAACTTGTCTGAATGTCATTTTTCAATTATTCAAGACATTGTGCATACAAAGTTATGAGGTTAATCTTCCTTGTACAGCCTTATTTGTTTAACTGCTTTAAGGTTAAAGGTTTATTTCTAATTCAAAACTTAAACATCAGTTGGTACTTGTAAAGAGACCATGAGTAGACCATGTATATAACTTAGAAGTGCTGAAAAAACAACTCAACATATATCTAAAGGACAGAATACTGAGTGTGCAAACCTTGTATATAAAAGATGACATTATAAGTTTCATTGCATCTTCTGTATCTCAAACATCAGGTCAGTGATTAATCTGCATATGAATGTCATCCATGAAATTATAGAACTAGTTTCATCTAGTATTTATTGTAGTACATAAGAATATTTAGTACAGTATTCTAAAGTGACATCAGATCTTAAACAATCATGGCTGCTGTCAAGAGGTTGCCACAGAATAGAGATACATCAAGTTATTTCCTATTGGAAAGCAAATCTTAAGCAAAAATTAAGGACTAAAGTAGGATTTAAACTGAAATTTCTGAATAAAAAGAACCCAAGGCTCATCACTTTTAAATGTTTTGCTGGTGATCTGGAGTGCTCTTGTGTAGTGATTCGTGAATTTGGGAGTATGTGAGAATCAACTGATTCTAAGCCGTCATCAACCCACTAAATTAGAATTCATGGACTTAGGGACTAGGAAATGTAATTTTTAGAAACCTCTCTAGCTGATTCTGATATATTCTAAAATTTGAGAACCATCGACCTTGGGAAAATATTAGTCCTATGATTTTAGAATTTTGTTTGTTTCTCTGAATGTTTTGGGTTTTTCCCTTCGTTTGTTTTTTTGTTAGCAACCTTTCCCCTCGATCTCACAAAAACTCGACTCCAAATGCAAGGAGAAGCTGCTCTTGCTCGATTGGGAGACAGTGCAAAAGAATCTGCCCCCTACAGGGGCATGGTGCGCACAGCCCTAGGGATCATTCAAGAGGAAGGCTTTCTAAAGCTTTGGCAAGGAGTGACACCCGCCATTTACAGACACGTAGGTATTTATCTTGATTCTGGCTGGTAAGTTTGTTATTTGTTCTGTGTTTGTGTCCTTTGCTTTTCTGTTTAGCTGTGTCTAAAAACCAGCAAGTTTTTCCTAATGACATGATAAATGAATATATAGGCTCTTAAGAAGAAAAAAATAAAGAATTAAGAAGTTACTGTCCTAAATTTTTAGAAATGTATATTGAATTATTTAGGGATGAACTATGATGATGTCTCAAAAGCACTTTAAAATAGCAAAAATAAATGAAGCAAATATGGCAAAATGTTAACAATTGCTAAATGTCAATGGTAGATATAGAGTTTGGAATGTTTGAAATAAAGAATTGAAATACGTTTGAAACATTTCCTAAGAAAAAGTTTATTTAAAGTTTAAGAAGGAAGCTGGGCTCGGTGGCTCAGCCTGTAATCCCACACCTTTGGGAGGCTGGGGTGAGTGGATGGCCTGAGCCCGCGGGTTTGAGACCCGCCTGGGCAGTGAGACCTCATCTCTACAATAAGTCAAAAAATCAGCCGGGCGTGGTAGCGCATGCCTGTAATTCCAGCTACTTGGAAGGCTGAGGCGGAAGGATTGCCGGAGCCCAGCAGGTTGAGGCTGCGGTGCTGGGAGCGGCCACTGCACTCCAGTCTGGGCGACCGAGTAAGACTCCAACTCAAAAAAAATAAAAAATAAAAAATGAAATAAAGTTTAAGAAGGAAAACAATGAATAATTATATCGCTTTTCCCCAGTTGAGAAACTTCAAACAACAAATTTAAATTTTTCATGATTTTTGAAAGTTAAAATATATTTACCACAATGCCAAATCTCTCTCCCATACATCTGATGCCAGGCTACTCTGAAAGAGAACAGCATTCAACTATGGCAACAGAGCAAACTGCAACATAGGTGATTTTTCTCTCAGTTCCCCAGGCTATCTAACTAGCTGTATGGGCCTTCAGTCACTCTTAAATGAAAATAGTAGTCACTATGCCAATGAGAACACTTTTCTACTCTGTTTCCAAAGTGACACTCCCAAGGATAGGAGTTGTTGAGTTTTTAGTTTGTGGATAGAAGAACATAAACTTGGCTTCAAAAAGAGGGAGGATAGGTATGGCATTTTTGTCCTCTACATTCATAATGTTTCCTTATGCAAATTGGGACCCTTGATCAGAAAAGTGCCCAGTTCTGATATTTGCTGGCTTAATATTTTTAAGGACTCAGTTCTTCACTGAATTTGTTAGAATATATCCAGAATTATACACAGAGGCTGTTACTGTTTTTGCATGTTGTGCATTTTTGAAATATTAAAATATGTCATCAAACTTTCTGAAATATCAGGAAAGCTTTCTGTATGAATACCATGTGCTTACTTCAATGATTTTGTTTACCATTATTTTTTAATATTTTCTCCTTTTCATCCCATTGCTGTTTTGAGTTTCACTTCTTTTTGTTTGTATCATGCTGATCACATATATTGTTTTACACTTAAGTTGCATTTCGTATGTTTGATATGTGACTGAAAATTTAATTAATATAATAAATTCCCCAATGAATTTATGTATATTGGTTCAATGAAAATGCCTGCTGTGTACCAAGGTATGTAGTAGGGCATTTGAAATAATAAAAAAAATACACAAGAGCCTGTCTAGAGAAGCTCATGCTCTGATGGAAAGATAAGCAAGAAAAACAAGTTAAGTTCTAATCAATATGATAAAGAAAAGATCAGGGAGCAGTTTCTGAAAAACATATTTTTTGAGTTGAGTCTTGAAAGACAAGGAGAACTTAACAAAGCAGAATTATCTGAAGATCAGACAGTGAGTGGGAAGGCCTAAGACTTAGAGCATGCTCCATTTGGAGAAACATCAAGAAGTTCATGTGTCCAGAGCATCAGCCACATGAAAGACACAGCTAGATATTGACTAGGACAGGTCAAAATGTCCTCTTACTTTATTAAACATACAGCTGAATTTACTTCTTTTATGATCTGTTTTACACAGTGTACTCTGGAGGTCGAATGGTCACATATGAACATCTCCGAGAGGTTGTATTTGGCAAAAGTGAAGATAAGCATTATCCCCTTTGGTAAGTTGTGTTTTAAAGTAATTTGGTATTGCCCTAAAGGCTTTAATGTTTATCCAATATATTTATGTAGAATTGTGCATTTTTATACAAATATCCTAAATTATAGCTTTAAAATAAGAAATAATTGCAATATAAATCTAAATTGAGTATTTACTGCAAATTGCATACAAATGTGCATGTACATACATATATGAATTGTATAAAGAGATATTTATTTAATATTTTAACATTAAAATAATCTTTACAGGGTACTTTCTTTATTCCCCTTTCTTTTTTTTTTTTTTGAGTTGGAGTCTCACCCTGTCACCCAGACTGGAGTGCAGTGGCCGCTCCCAGCCACCGGAGCCTCGACCTGGGCTCCGGCGATCCTTCCATCTCAGCCTTCCGAGTAGCCGGAATTACAGGCGTGCGCTACCACGCCCAGCTAATTTTTTGATTTTATTGTAGAGATGAGGTCTCGCCTGCCCAGGCGGGTCTCGAACCCGTGGGCTCAGGCAATCCACTCACCTCAGCCTCCCAAAGGCGCGGGATTACAGGCTGAGCCACCGAGCCCAGTTTTTTGTTCCCCTTTCTACTGAGAACTCTGGGCTTTAGAGTCAGACAGATGGGCTCAGAGTTCTGCTCAACTACTGTGTAACCTGGGCAGACTGCTTTACCCTTTTTGGCTTCAGGTTTCTCAGCTACAGAAGTAATGCCTACTATCGGGTGTATGTTTTCATAGGGTTAGATGAGATGATGAATGTAAGTGCATATTACTTATAATAGAAACACAAAACAATAGGTCATTATAAATAATATACATAAGGTTCTATAAATAAATGTTAAAAATAGAGAACACAGTGGAAAAATAAGGAAATAAATCAATGGGCAGTTCACAAAAGAAGAATTATAAATGTTCTTTAAACATATAAAAATGTTCAAACTCATCAGTAATCAGAGGAATTGATTAAAACTTCCTTTGAACTGTTAGTCATTTTGGAGCATAAATTATCTGTTAAAATGTTTAAATATGTAATCCTTTGACCCAGCTCCTTCTTTATTACTATAATCATTTGGAAATACTTGTACCTGTGCATACAGACAGGCAAATAGACACAAAAAGATACCGACTATAGCTGTGTTGATTAAAGAAAATTTTAAAAATAAATTTAAATAACTATCAATGTGGAAGTAGTTAATTAAGTTGTAATGTATTTATATAGAGAAGCCTAACACAGCTATTGAAGGAGTAAGGTAGATTTCGTATGACTAAGATGGAAAGATGCCTGTAATGTTGTTTCTGGGGTTAAAAAAAAAAGAAAACAACCCAAGCCACAACTGTAAGAAAAGGGCAATAAGTAGAATTTCATATTTCAGGCAAAATCTCTTAGTCCTGTTTCTGAAAAATTATAACATACTATGCTGTGCTAATTGTTTTCCCAGAGCTAATGATGGAGTAGAAGATCAGTAGTCCTTGCATTTTGGAATTTCCTCCAGAAGAGAAAGATCTATGGGGGATGGGTTCTTTTAACCCAATCAGGAGGGTTTTTTCAGTCAATAAATATTTGTTGGATAATGATGGCGTGCCAGTTTTTTACCTGACATTGATCCTATAGTAATGAAAAAGACATAATCCTGCCATCATTCAGCTCACAGTAACAGGGTAAGATGAATAAACAATTAGAAATGTATAAACAATACAGAAGAGAAAATGGTTATGAGATTTGTAAGGGGAAAATGTTGATAACGCACTATGCTCATCATTGTTGGAGAAAGAGGCATTCTCCAAGATTGTTGGTAGAAGTATAAATTGATGCAAGTTCTATGGAAAGCAATTTGGCAGGATCTAGCAAATGTTATGTAATGTTCAAATTTCTTAGTTTAAATTATGTTAGGTAAATAAATTATGGGATATCCATAAAGTGATATGCTATGATGCTATTTTAAAAAATGAGGCAGCCCTATGTGATCTGATAAGATATACAGTTAGAAAACAAAGTACAGAACACTATACAACTTGGCATACCATGTTTGTGCTTTTAAAAAGGAATATTTATACAAAATAAAAGGGACTATTGTATATGCACAAACTGTCAATTACAACTTCATGTTGAAGACTGTGGGTTCTGCACTCACACTGTCTGGATTCACATCTTGGTTTTCCCACTGACCAGTTGTGTGATTTGGGCTATCATTTAACTGTTTGTGCCTCGGTAAAGAGGGAATGAACAACAGAACTAATGTCATAGGGTGATGTGAGAATTAAATGGTATTTTTTAAATGCTGTGAACAGTGCCTGGCATATGAGCCTTCAGTGAATTCACTATTATTACCTCTAGGAAGACATATAAGAACATTGTAATTGTGATTACTTCAGTGGAGGGGAGCTAGGCATAAGGGACTGAAGAACCCTTTTAACTTTATACCCAAATTACTTTAACGTGAAGGGAAAAACAATACCTCTTTACCCCAAAAGACTATTGTAATCTAGGTTCAAGGTGTTTGGAAGTTTGGCTGAGACAGGAAACACAGCAATGGAGAGAAGATGGATCCAAAGCATGTTGAAGTATAATTGTCTGGCTCACCATTGACTCTGAGAGGGTAGGAGAAGGAAAAGTCTAGGAATGAAAAGATTTTCTTCAAAGGGAGGAATGTTTTCAAACCCCCTTCCCTTAGAAAACTGCTAACACAGTTTTAAAAATTTGTCTTACCAGCCTTTGTCTGTTAGGCTGGTTGCCTCTATACTGTTTTTATTCCCCCGTAGTCAGAACTAAACTACAATTCAACTATCAGTTCAGATAAAGCAGCAGACTTTCCTTTGAACATCAGGCCATGTAAAACCTAAAACCTCAGATTTTAATTTTAACTCCTTGTGGTCTTTTAACCCTCCCATCAGTAAACAGTCAAACCATCTGCTTTCCTCTGTGACTTATTTGGGTCTATCCTTTTCTTCATTTTGTCTTAAATCTCTTACCTAGGGTTTGTACTATCTCAGTATTGGGTCATTATAAAATTCATGAAATTGATGGCAACTTTTTAAAAAAGTATTTCCTTTTACAATTAGGAAATCAGTTATTGGAGGGATGATGGCTGGTGTTATTGGCCAGTTTTTAGCCAACCCAACTGACCTAGTGAAGGTTCAAATGCAAATGGAAGGAAAAAGGAAACTCGAAGGAAAACCGTTGCGGTAGGTTCTCCATTTAACTATACCTTCCTTTTCCCTGGCTGTAATCATGTTTTGAACATGTATGTAATAGATTTATCACCCAGTATTCATTAACGACATTAATGCTGACTTTTTTTTTTTTTTTTTTGAGTTGGAGTCTCACTCTGTCGCCCAGACTGGAGTGCAGTGGCCGCTCCCGGCCACCGCAGCCTCGACCTGCTGGGCTCCGGCGATCCTTCCGCCTCAGCCTTCCAAGTAGCCGGAATTACAGGCATGCACTACCGCACCCGGCTGATATTTTGGTTTATTGTAGAGATGAGGTCTCGCTGCCCAGGCAGATCTCGAACCCGCAGGCTCAGGCAATCCACTCACCTCAGCCTCCCAAAGGCGCAGGATTACGGGCTGAGCCACCGAGCCCAGCTAATGCTGACTTTTTTAATGTGGGAGTTATATTCATTCAGAGGAGAGCTATGCTGGATCTTTTCTTTGCATTACAAAGTGTACATATTGTCTACCAGACAAATTATGTATGCACGGTTCTTTGCTGCTTTTCCTAGCTAAGGCAGCTAGACTTGTCATGTCCCCTAATTCAGGTTAATATAAAGAGTTTGATCATTAAATTTGCTCTGGTATGAATCCCAGTATTGCCATTGTGGCTTGGTGTTGTGGAAGTCACTTGACATTTCTGGTCTCTTGTGTTTTTATTTTTAAAGAGGGCTGTTTCAAAAGTTTTTCACAACGGTTAACATGCCTGGCCTATTAGTGCCAAAAAATCTTACTTTCTTTCTCTTTCTCCAAAAAAGAAGAGAAGTAGCAAGGTTAACATTGCATATGAGTCTAACTTTCTTGTTGAATCCCATTCCTCCCACATCTTGCAGCTCTCTTGTTCCCTAATTTAACAGATTTTTAAAATTATGCTTTTGTGATATAAAATCCTCCTATTGCATCACCCTACATTATTGAAGCCTGCTTTTCTTCAAAGGGCTTCATGTTTACCAGTTTATCAAAATACCACTTAGCCAATTTCCCTTAGGAAAGAGATAACATCTTGCAGATAGATAAGCCCTTCACAGGCAAGAGGGAAAGTGCAGGGTGACCGGAGCCAGTACAAAGAGAGGTGCTCCTCTGAGCACTTCAGGTTTGTAGCTAAGCCAGAGGCAAAAGGGATATTTGGGGCTGTCTTTGGGAGTTCACCACTGAACACTGCTTTCTGCCTCCCTCTTCCTTGATCTGACTCTGTGAAAAATGAGGTTAGACTGCTGCAGTCTTTAAAAGACGGAGAAAATATGCATAGCAGAGAAGAAGGCACTACTCTGACTTCACCAAGAGTTTATAGAATCCAAGGGCCCATTTTGTCATTTTGTAATGATTTTGAATTACTAAATAACAGGGGAAAGTGATGCTGCCTTGTTGGATAGAAGGAAAAAATTGGTTATTGGGATCTAGAAATTTCTGACTTTTTAACTATCCTCTAGGGGTTTTTTTCTTCTCTTTGTTCCTAATGTTGGAAATTTTTGGTTTGACTAAATGTTGTAGTGAAAAATATGAACCTTGAAGTCAGACAACCTGGGGTTCAAATCCAGTCTTTACCACTTTTGGCTTTATAATCATAGTCAAGTTCCTTAACCATTCTAAGCCTAAGTTTCCTCAAATGTAAATTGGAATGATAATACATACTCATAGATTATTCAAGACTAAAATGCATCTCATGTATATGAAATGCTTGGCTCCTAATAAGTCATGATAAATTTTAACTATAATGATCATTGTCCATGATCATAACTTACCATTGTAGCATAATAGCAGTAATGCACTCCCAATAACTAATATGTGTACTGATGATATGAACTATCAAGAAAGGTATTTTGATCTCTGTAATAATCTGAGATGAGAAGATGATGACATAATTTATAAAGATTTTCATTAAAAATGTTTAAGTCAGGTACATGCATAATGAACATTTGTATATCTAACCCTGAATTGTACCCCACATCTTTAAAATTTTTAAAAAATGTTTAAATCAAAATGTTGGCCTTTTTATAGAGTATTAAGTTTATCTGGAAATTAGACTTATGTTGATAGCTTTAACCTCTATGAATTCTGGATAAATAAGATGTAATTTTACTCTAAATTATAACAGCTATAGCTGAAGCTTATTCCATTGTACTCTACACACAGGACTATAGAGTTTTTACATTTCATTATTATTTCCCTTAGATTTCGTGGTGTTCATCATGCATTTGCAAAAATCTTGGCTGAAGGAGGAATACGTGGGCTTTGGGCAGGCTGGATACCCAATATTCAAAGAGCAGCGCTGGTGAATATGGGAGGTAATAGAAACTTTCTTAGATTCTGAGAAGTTCCAATGACCTTAATAGTTATATGTACTTGGGGAAATGGAAATTTATATTTTTTATTTTTCAAAACATATATTGGTGTCAGGCTGCATAGATGTTGTATTGACATAGTTGAATATATTCCCTAGAGCATTTTCATTTCATTCTACTATGGTATATGAAAAGGGTTTCCTAAAACAGGCAAATTGTGGTGATAAGAAGATAAGGTCAAATTATTTCTAAGGTTTCCTTTCCAGTCCAGACCATCCTTTAAGAGTCAAACTGATATAACTATCTGATAGTCATTATATCCAGAATGTCCAAATCCTTCTCCCTGGTCCTCTTTCTCCTAGCCCTAAATAATCTATCTTGTACAGCCTGCCCCTTCAGGCTAGAAATCTGAATGTCTCCCTAACTCATCCCTGCCCCTCACTTCCCATATTCATGTACCAATTTCTTTTGTCTTCTGAATACTTCTTAAAAGTTTCTTCCCTCTAATACCTGCTTAGTATCCTTAAAATGACTATTTCTACAATACCAGCCATCAAAACCTCTCAACTTGACCATTGCCACAAACATCTACCTGGTCTCCTCCTCTATCCTCAAATGTGTACCCAGTATCCAGAGTGATTTATCTGAAACGCAGATTTGGACATGTTATTGGTGTCCTTAAAACCCTCTACTAGTTTGTCATCATCTACAGAATAAAGTGAAAATTTTAGAATGTGACATAGGAGGTCTGCAAAATCTGACCTATACCTTCAGGGAACTGAGAAATTCATTGATTCCCCTGCAAAAAGTGAAGCAGAAAGTCATGAACTGAAAGGTTCCATTCATCCCTCAACACAGAGCAAGGATTTTTGCTCATTGTGTCTTCCATGCCTCTTTCTCCAGAGCCTGTAAAAGTGTCAGGTGCTCAGATGGTAGGCACTCAAATAATGGTGAATGATTACATGTACTTGTCCATTCTTGCCTCAGTACAACTTATTTCTCTATACTTTAGTGTGGGTAACCTTTATCTCCAGCATTGTGATGCCATTCCTCTGTTTAAAACACTTCAATAGCTCTTCATTGTCATTAGAAAAAAGTATAAAAGACTTAATGTTGAATAATTGCCAGCACCTTTTGTTTATAAGTGATAGGATCTCAACTCAACCTAACTTTAGCTTAAAAAAGTAATTTATTGACTCAAATATTGAAAGACCCAGAGTAAGCAGACTTTAGCAGAATTCAGATGTTCAAATTATACAGTTGACTTTTTGTCTCTTCCTCTTTTCCTCTCCTTTCATCTTAGCTCTGTTTTCCCCTGCTTGAGAACAACTATGGTATCTTTCATCCTGGTACACATTCCTTCCTCAAGCCTAGCATATTCTTGATACAAAAGACATTCACTGTTGCATGAATGAATATTCAACTTTCTTTTTCCATTCCCAGATTTAACCACTTATGATACAGTGAAACACTACTTGGTATTGAATACACCACTTGAGGATAATATTATGACGCATGGTTTATCAAGGTAAGTGATAAGATGATTTAGTTTTCATACTCAGTGGTCTGTCACAGAAACAAAGAACAGAGTACCATATGTTTTCACTTATAAGCGGACCTTGAACAATTATAATACTATAAGAAAGGAATTGGCAGTAGTGGGAAACTGTCAGGGAATGGGGGGTGGGATTGGCAGTTGAGGGAAACTGCTAGGGGAGGGAGGGTCACACCTCATCAACAAGGGCACCTGCATAATCAACGTTTGTATACCTAACCCTGAATTGTATCCCACATGTTTATAATAATAAAAAAGCATTCAAAAAAAAGATAGTTTTAGTTTGACTCTATTTTTTTAATATCACTTTTCTTCCATATTTGGCATAAATTCTTTTGGCTCATTTGGTCGGGAATTTATTGATATCACCCCCAGAGAAGGTACTAGTACATTTTTAAAGAATAATTTTCTTAAAGTTTGTGGCAGTTAGAATGGGGAAGAGACAAAGTTGCAGAATAATTCAGATTAAACCTCCCAAAATATTTTCACCATATTGGGGTCATCCCAGGAGCAGGTTATGATGATCGACTCTCCAACTCAATTCAACAGATATGTCTGAGCCCCTTTTATGTTAAAGGCATTGTGCAGGGCCCTGCAGTAGGTACAAAAAGAGTAAACTCAAGTCCTGCCTGCATATGCTGTTCCATCTGCTTGTAACACTCTTCCTCCAAGTTTTCATGGAGAGGTATCGTTTTCACCACTCAATTCTTCTGCCACCCCAAGAGTCTTTTCCTGACTGCTTTTCACCCAGTTACTCCCAGTCACATTCCCCATTTTATTTTTGTCATAGCTCTTATCAGCTTCTGAAATTATTTATTTCTCTTCTGTCTCTTTCCAAGTGGAATGTAAGCTTCTTGAGGGCAAGTTGTTACCTGTCTGTTCACTACTTAAGAGTATGCCTGGCACCAGCAGGTACTTAAGGCATATTTGTTGGCTGGCATTCTTTTTTTTAAAATTTTTTCTACCTCTTCAATGAATTAATCTGGCATTGATTTTAAGCTAAAGGAACATTCTTGTTATTATATTTAGCTTTCTATTCTTTCTAAATATCAAATTCTGTTTCTTAAAGTAGAAACTATCTTTTCTTAAAGTAGAAAGTCTTCTTAAAGTTTTCTTAAAGTAGAAACTATATTATCTTTCGATTTCATTTATTTGTATTTGTAGTTTATGTTCAGGACTGGTAGCTTCTATTCTGGGAACACCTGCTGATGTCATTAAAAGCCGCATAATGAATCAACCACGAGATAAACAAGGAAGGTAGTGGAAAGTCTTCAGTATTCATGTGCTTGAATGTCTATAATAATGTTATTTTTAAAAGATGCTTTCCTGTGTTTATTCTTGATAGAAATATATTTGTGTATTTTTGGGAAAATTGAATAAATTGTTTTTATGCAATTACTTGCTTTTTGATGAAAAAGTGCTGTGCATTTTGGGAAATGAGCTAATTAACAATCATATTATTTAAACACAAAGTATTCATTGTGACTTTATTGTTTTCACATAGCTTTTGAAAGTATACTCTGCTGAAAATTTACAGAGCCCTTTCTTCAGAAGCTTATGACGTACGGGTAACCTAGAGGATTTGATATGCAATAGTGTGTTCTCTTTGGAAGAGATCAGATGAGAGTACATTCTAAGTATAAGTTCAAGGTTAGGGTGAATCAGAAGAGTCAACTTTGAAAATATATTTAAAACAAAAGAAATTATCTATATCTGTAGAACCACAAGTATTATTTGTTCTAAACCAAAGGAAATGTATAACTTGTGATAAGTTTCCTCAGACTATTTTATTTCTTTTTATTTGTACATCTTTTTACACAGAAGAACTTTAACAAAAGTTTCTTGTTTTCGTCATAGGGGACTTCTGTATAAATCATCAACTGACTGTTTGATTCAAGCTGTTCAAGGTGAAGGATTCATGAGTCTGTATAAAGGCTTTTTACCGTCTTGGCTGAGAATGGTAAAGTTAGGTTTTTCTTTTGTTTTTCTTTTTTTGTACTTAAATTACTTGTAATCTATAAGTATTTTCCCTTTTCTCTTCTGATTTGCAGCGTGGCTCTGCCCCTAAATTAAGGCCCTTTCTTTCTTTTTAAAATCTTTTTTGTTTTTGTTTTGTTTTGCTTTTTACCACTCTTCAGAGTTATATTGCCTTCCTTGGTAGATTAAGGTAAAATAAATCAGTTATATTCATTAATGAAAAGATTGATAGTCTGTTATAGAGCCAGTAGACAGATTTCTGTAATGTAAAACCTTTAAACAGTATATTTAGTTATATTTTAATTATAGTAGTTTGGGACAGATATACAGATTTTACACTAGAGACCGTTACTATGACAAATTTACAGTTTCAAACAAAATTTGTTACTTTGGTGGCAAATGTTACATTACCCACTAATACTTATTATCACCAAACTCTGCTTAACAAGAAAGTATTATGCCATTTTTGTTTGGCTTAGATGTTATTTTTATTCCAGTGAACTAAGATGTAGAATTAGATGACTTGTTTAAGCAACATAGCAAAATAATAAAAATAAGGTATTCACATCTTTTGTACATTAGAAAATATTTGAATGAGTTATGTGTTTAGAAATTCAAGCAATCAAAAATTAATACAATATATTATCTTTTAATTATATATAATGTAATACATTTTTTTATATTTTGTTTTATTTTTTATTTTTGAGAAAGCAGGTTTTTTTTGAGAGGACAGAAAAGCTCCCACAGTGGGAGGGGACCTGAGGGTGTTGTCCTACATATATATTTTAAATTAAGTACTTATTCCTTGCAAAGCTCTGTACTAAGGGCTTTAGCTTCGAATAAGAAACTCTAAGGGATGACTGGTATGGGAAGAGTGTATGCTGCTATGGAAATATATAGCACATGAGTACAGCCTAGGCTGGGAGAATAAGCAACCCTCCTTGGAGAATGAACTTCTGAATTTAGGTTTAGAGAATAAGTAGGACTTAGCCAGGTAAAAAGGGCAGACAGAAACATTCTATATGGAGGGATAGTTGGAGTGGACAGAGTACATGATGAGTTCAAGGAAACCCAGCACGCCAAGGTACAGAGACCTTGTGGAGGGAGGCAAAGGGTGTAGCCAGAGAGAGGCAGACAACAGATTAGGAAGACCCATATGAGCCAAAAGAGTGATGGATAGCAGTTTGATAAAATAAGGATTTTTAGAAAAATCATTTTGGTTGCCATGCGGGTTGAGAAAAGGCCAGGTGTAGTGATAAAGTGAAAGGTAATGGTGGCTTGGATGAGAGTATGACAATGGGGACAGAATATAGATTAAACAAATATTTAGGAGGTAGAAAAAAGATAGAAACATGACCGATTGGATGGGGATGGGAGAATGGTTAGAGGAGATATAGAAAAGACAGGCTTCACTCCCAGATTCCTGCCCTGAGCAACTGATGATGTTATAATTTTCTAAAATGAAGGTCATTTGTAATGAAGAAGATTTGGGGATAAAATAAGTTTAGTTTAAGGTATGTGACATTTTGGCTATCCATAGGACATTTGAATAGAGATGTCCAGATAATGAACTGAATATATTCTCTAGATCTTAGGAAACAATACAGCAATGGAGATTTAGATTTGAACACTGCCCATATATAGATGGCAATTGAAACTTTAGTAATAAATGATATCACTAAGGGTTATTAAGTGTTTGTGTATTAACACTAAGTTAATAGCCAAAGTCCTTGGCAATATCTGATAAAAGGTATACCAGAGTTTAAACATTTTTTGGTAGTCTTCATGATACCTAGATGTCAAACTGGCTATTTCTTACTGGAAAGGTAGATTTTGATTTGGCCCTCATGAACCAGGCACTATTATAGGTGCCAGTAATACTGAGGAATAAGACAGAGTCTTATTTGTACTAGAGGAGCTTATAGTGAGATGTATAAATGAAACATGCAAGGTGTTAAAATTGCAGTCATAATAAAAAGTACTAAATAAATACTTCTAGAGTGGAAGGGGTTTAAAAGTTTTTTTAGGCCAGGCTCAGTGGCTCAACCTGTAATCCCATGCTTTGGGAGGCCGAGGTGAGTGAATTGCCTGAGCCCATGGGTTCGAGACCTCATCTCTACAATAAAAAAAATTAGCCAGGCGTGGTAGCGTGCGCCTGTAGTTTCAGCTACTTGGAAGGCTGA